GTGTCCCGTCCCGTCCCCCCCCGCGAAAGCCGGCCTGCGGGGAGGGCGGTCCGTGAGCCCCGGACGCAGCAGGCCGCGGCGGCCGTACCGCTTCCTCCTGGCCGAGCTGCCCTTCGGGAGCGGCGCCTGGTGGGGCCGGGGCCGGCCGCGGGGGAGCGCGGGCGGGGAGGAGGCCACCTCAGCCCGGCGTGAGTGGTGCTGGCGAGGCCTCGTGCGTTTGCCCTTAAAATGGGCTTTTATTGGAGGAATGCGCGTGGGCTGACGCGACAGGTAGCATCTCATCAACGTGAGAAATAACGTGGTTCATCCACGGTTTTCCTAAGACCTTTCTTCCTCCGGATTTTCCCTTTTATTTCCTTTAACTAGTTCACTTGGTCCACGTTAGTGCCCAATTATTTGCAAGCGCTTCATTGCATAAGCCCTGCACATCAGTTTCCTGAGTGGCCAAATTAGTCTTTCTGGCCAGATGCCCCTTTTCGTTCTCACTGTTTTAAGTTGTTGCTGTTCTGTCAACGCCTTCATCACTTAATTCGCGGTGAGGTTAAGTTGTAAGATACGTGCAATTTGAAATGTATTTATTTTTGAGGACGAGGAGCATTAGCGGCTAGGCGGCCTGTTGGCAAACCTGCAGGCAAGCCAGGGAGGGATATTCTTGCAGCTTCCCACCGTGAGGTGTAGTCACACACTTTAAAAAATTGCCCTTCCACAAAGCAGTTCGGGAGGGCTTTGCCCTTCCTTTCTGTTTCCACCATTTCTTCCATGCCACCGTACCCTTTGGGTGTGTCATCTAGGCAGTAGAATAAATTAGAATAGTAGAATAGCCAAATTGTTCTTTACGCTCTAGAAGTCTGTTTTTAAGAGGCTGTGGATAGCGTTAGTTGGCGTTGACTGTAGTGTCTAATATTTGTAACTTCAACATTTTAGGCGTTTAAAGATACTGGCAAAGCACCTGTGGAACAAGAGGTAGCAATTCATCGCATTAGAATTACTTTGACAAGTCGCAATGTAAAGTCACTTGAGAAGGGTGAGTGATGCTTTTTCTTTTTTGAACCGGAATAGCTTGTTAAGTAATGAATGATATATATGATACAACATATCGCAAAACAGAATGCATTGAAACCAGTTGTCATTAAAGACATTAGCATTTGCCTGTTTGTGTGTGACTTGGCTAACAAAGTCAACCCAAAGCACTTCATACACTGACAAATAGGTTCTAATTTCATTTTAATGGAAGCTAATGTTTGGGGTTTTTCACCATGCTGAAAACTTCACGTCATAATGACTAACGTAAGAGTGCAGCTTCCTCCCTTTAGTTCTTGTTGGGGGGTTTTAGTTGTCACTATTTGAATGTATAAGAACTGAAAGGCACTGGTTTCGTGATTGATATTTTGTCGCTCTTGTTATCAGGAGTTTAGTTTAGAAGCTTAACGTTCTTTAAGAAATTATTTAATCTTGTTTAGAAACTGGCTTTGCTGGTGTTTTAATCATATGATGTAAATGTTGCAGAGTCACTGTTTGATGCAGGATCTTCCGGCTGATAATGGCTTAAATACAGCTTAAACTTGTAGTAATGGCTTTTGTCTACTGTTGTAACATGATTTTGCTCACCGCGGTGTAACGCTTCCACTTGTTGGCTATGAGGATAACCCTTAAAATGAATGGCAATGATCACTTCATACGCTATTCTGAGCCAACTTCTTGTTTGAAATCTTCATTTAAGAAAACAAGCAAAAAAATACTCACCAACCTGAGCTATTTTGTGGGTTTTTTTCAGTCTGTGCTGACTTGATCAGAGGTGCTAAGGAAAAAAACCTAAAGGTGAAAGGACCTGTTCGCATGCCCACCAAGGTACTTAAAACACTGTTTTCCTGTCTTAAAAGTACGTTTTTTTCTGCAAATGTGCACTTAAAACATCTTTTTTTAGAAAAAAAAGTTGAGATGAAAAGCAGTACTACTAAATTGAGGCTGACCCAACGTAAACAGATAATGACTTCACAAGTTGCTTTGATACTTGGGGGAACGGTTTAGTACAAAACATCTTCAACATGTAAGGGGTTTTTCTGCCCTTCAATTTATTTTAATCATGGATTTTTTATTTTTTTAATTAAATTGAATATGGGGAAGGACTGTTAACATCAGTAGAATAAAACTTAAGTAACCTTCCAATGACTTAGATACCGTACAGCATTTTTCGGTGGGTTGATTTGATTGTAGATTAGTCTTCTGTATGCATCAACTAAATACCCCGTGTTTATGATTTTTCTTCAGACTCTGCGAATCACTACCAGGAAGACGCCTTGTGGTGAAGGTTCCAAGACCTGGGATCGTTTCCAAATGCGTATCCATAAGCGGCTCATTGACTTACACAGCCCTTCTGAGATTGTGAAGCAGATCACTTCCATCAGCATTGAACCAGGTGTAGAAGTCGAAGTTACTATTGCTGATGCCTAAACGATGGTCATCGTTGAATAAAGTTAATTTACAAATTTTCATCACTGTTTGTTTTCATATGCGTGCCAAGAGTCTTGGGTAGCCCTATGATGATTTCTATGAAGAAGGGCAACAGAGATGATAAACAAAATGCTGTGTGAGAGGATTGTATGATACTTAAGGAAGAATATGCCAGTTGTAAATGTCAGGAAGATGAAACTTGGGCATCATAATTACACTGGAGGTTGGTGACTGTATGGACTTGGAGCACTTAAACTATTAAAAATATATTTTCGATGAAGGATTTAACTTTGGCTGAAATCTTAGTCTATACCCAGACAAGCAGTAGCATTAAAATTGATGTTTAGGTAAATTACCAAGTTTTCAATTCTTAGGGTTTGCTATGCAAGGCTGAACTTAACACTTTAGCGTGCTTGGCTTTTTTTTCCCCGTGCTTTTCACAGGCAGTGGATCCTGAATATGTTAGTTATAAAACTGTATAATTTGTGGTGAATACGTTGAATTTAGCATGCTCTTTCTTTAGAGTTGCATGTAGAGTCACAAAACTAAGCTGTGGAACTCTCTAGTTGTCTTTCTAGGTTTAGATTTCCATTGATTTGAGTATTAAAGGTAATGTTAAAGGTAAGCTTCACATGTAAAGCAATAAAGCAGCCATTTTCATGGTTGCTACTTAGGCCTCTCAAGTTTGGCGGTGCATTTTTTTTCTTCTGCAAACTAATCCTTAAAGGAACTATGATGAGTGCTTAAACCTACAAGACACAAAGCCTTGAGTTAAATGAAAGAACACCATTTCATCCATTTAAGATCAGGTTGCTGCTTCTGCTTCAAGCATAATAGAGAACTTGAATTCTAATGAAACAAGCAGAAGTGAGGAAACGTGGTCGTGTGGACCTTGAGGTCCCATTTGTATTTGCTAAGACCTAAAGCAGTTGCCAAAGCTTGAGCTTTCTTACTCAAGGGATTCAAGAGTCCCTCACCTGCCCACTTGTCTTAATTTCATTAAGTGTAAAGCCTTAGAAGGAATCTATTCCTCTAGTTAGCAGGCTCAAGAGCTTTGGTAGAAGGGAGAGCTGAGAAACTTAGTTGCAGTTATACACACAGATCGTGGGCAGCCTGCTTCCTTGGGAAACATCTCCAAGAATTGTGTTGGCAGAGAAGAAAAAATGTGTCTTCCTAAAGGTCAGTTTCTGCTAATATGTTACAAACACTAGCTGCCTGACAAATACTTCTGGCCTTAGTTTTAAAATTATTTGTATTTTATGGGGTGCTCTGAAAACCATGGTAAGAACTTGGCTTTGTGACAGCAGGCAGGTTAGGGGATTAACGGGCGAACAGGTAACAGACTAGAACTGTTACTAGCAGAGGCTGACTGACTTGTGTGTGATTAGCTAGTACCTTTCACCCAAGTAGTCTTCCCTCTGCTTAACCCAATAGCCTTCTGACTGAAAGCACTTGGAGGGATCTAGGGAGGTCTGGCTAGCTTTAACGTCTTTTCTGTCTTTGGGCTCTCCTCTTAGTCAAAACCTATCGCGATGAAACAGCTTTTTATCGCCTTAAAGCTGGCCATACCTCAGACTTAACACAGTGCCTCTTAAACCTAAATGATGTGAAGTCCCACCTATGTTCTTTGACCGGCTGTGGCTCTTTAAAAACACGTTTTCTGTGGTCTTTTTGGCGTGCTGCTTTCTTTTCACCTGCCCCCGACTTGCTCTGAAGGACAAGTGCAACTTTACCTTTGCGGCTGGGTCTTGCGCTACGCGGAAACTGAACGCTCCTCCCTGCTCTCTGTGTGGACGGGCTCACGCGTGAAGGTTTCCCACCCTGCAGCGGAAGACCGGAACGTTTCGGTGGGCCGCAGGCTGCCGTGCCGTTCCCTCCACGGGGGGACGGCTCCCGCCTCTCAGCGGGGTCCCGTTCCCCCCCCCCCCAACACCCGGGTACGCCGTTCCCTCGACCTGTCACACTTCTGGCCTGGTGTAACCTGAGCGTGCTGTGGTTTATTTGTTTTCTGCTCAGTTTACGACAACACCGCGCAGTGTCGAAACGGTTACGTAACACCCGTAACGGCTTTATGTAACTGTTTTGATGGCAATACTTAGGTATCCGCGTCTCCCCCTCCCAACCACCCACCCCCCCAGCACGCTCTCGGTCACGCAGGA